GAATTACTGATTGCAGAACCTGAGTGAAGATGCCAGAGGGAAAGACCATTCCAAAGGCTTCTTAAAAATTATTATTTTTTTTCCTTAATACCCGCTGTGAGGCACTGTCTTGTGTAATTCATGATTCTTTGAAGAAAGATTTGCCATCTTAAGGGAATAAAAACAAGTCTGTGTTATCTTTTTAAAAATATCATGTGTTTCTGCTACTGGTGAAGTCTGGGCCTGAATAAATACTCACATGGATCTCCCAAAAACTGCAAATTCAGGTAATAATGAGTTGGACAGGACATGGTTACAATCTGTTTGGAGACTCAAAGGTTGGGTCAAGCAAAATTCTGAAGTTAGCAGAGCATTTTCTGACCCAAATTCCCTCAGGAACAGAAGGGCACAGCAGGAAACACTGTCCCATACAGTTTTATGTATTCTGTGGCTCCAACTGCTGAATCCCTCAAGACTTTGGTTCCTCTGGAGTTAAAAGTTAGGCTCTTCCTTTAATTTTCCAAGCTCACATCACAGAAAATAAGACATTAACTGTCTTATTTTGTGTCTTTTTCCGATTGCCCAAAACACAAAATTCAGGCCAGGTTTTGGTGAGGATGGGAAGAAATGGGAAAGTATGTAGCTTGAAAAAGAACAACAAAGTTCAGTCATGCACAAAATGCTTTTTAGATTTTTTTTTAATTGAAACTCAAAATTTCTGTGAAGAATTTGCCATGAGACAATAGCTGTGTGTTGGTGGTGATATCTGTGCCATGCAGAGCCCAACAGCCAGAGGTGACAATCACAACCCAGACATCTCCAACCACAGACACCAAACCTTCCTGCCCACACTGCACCTGAAATTGCACTGGGAGGCCTCAGAAATCCCACAGGATTCCAACAAATCTCCAGTTGCCTTGGAAGTGTAATTAACTGCAATTGCCTTTTTGATTTTATCTCCATTTTCTCAGGTTCTGGGCAATTTGGGAAAGCTCTCTGTGTACCTACAGGTGAGAATGCACACCAGTGCATGCACCTACTTGTCTGCAGCTACCAACTTCCCAGTGGATCTGCTTTTCTCAGGGCCTCCTTGGAGAATGAAACTTAGGGAAGAAGCCCATCCTTTGGGAAATTCTCCTTCTAATCCTGTAAAGTCACTGATAAAAAGATTTCTGTTCCTGCTGGTGATACCAGATCCAATCAAGGGAGTGTTCAAGCTCAGCTTGCCTCCACTAGGCTCAAGCTCTGTGCTTCCCACAAGGTTTTCTGACAAATTGCTCTCACAGGGATTTAAAAAAAACAGATGCTGACCTAGCCCTTACAGTAAGGAAGAGATTTTCCTTCCTTCTCCACAGAAATTTTATAGTTTCCTAAAAAAACAGAAAGAAGGGATCCAGAGAGAGCAATGGGGAACGCATACAGAAAAAAAAAAGGGGGGGGGAAGTTTGACCTGGGTCAAGGAGTAATTGATACTCCAGGCTACAGCTTCATCCATTTTCAAAGAATCACAAAATCAGGGGATGATTTCAAACCCCATCAGGCTGGATGGGGTTTGGAGCAACCTGGTCTAGTGGAGGATGTCCCTGTGTTGGAAGCAGATGGTTTCTAAGATCCCTTCCAATATAAAGCATTTTATGATTTTATGAAAATTCTTGCCCCTGCAAGGAAGGTTCAGCACAAGTTTCATTCAAAAATACAGATTGGGTGTAGTCAATGAGTTGGAGAAATGCATCCAAAAAATTAGAGAGCTGTTTCAATCTGAAAAACTTTCCTAGTCAGTGGAAAATTCAGCTTTGCTACAAAGTCAGATGGAAGTTTCTGAGCCAGCCCGGGCAGGAGTTTGCCCGTACACCCCAAGGAGAAAGGCCAAGAATGAGGCATCTGAACACAGCCCTGCCAAAACCTCCCTGGTTTTATCATCCTGAGTTCAAACCCAGACCTCCTGTCCTGCTGTTCGCACTGCACACAGAAGGGTTTCCAAGAAATGTTTCTTGGCAGCAATCCCAAAAAACCCAGCTTCCGACCCGCTGCCGGGAGCAGAGGTGGCTTCTCTGCTCGTTTTGAAAGCTGAATTACCAAAGAAATTCCAGCATTTCTGAACAAAGCCCTTGATTTTCCCAAACAAAACTATTTCTGTGAGCCTAATTCAGGGCTGGTGGTCTAAGGACCTGGAGAAGATGGTCCCCCCCACATTCCCATTCCAGGTTTTGCACGGCATCAGGAATGCTTCCCACCTACCCTTCCTGTAAACCTGCTGGGATCATGAAAATAATTATGATGGAAAAAAAATGGGTGAACACAGATTTTAGAAGGAATTTCTTGACTATGAGAGCAGTGAGGCCCTGGCACAGGGTGCCCAGAGAAGCTGTGGCTCAACCTGGATCCCTGGAGGTGTCCAAGGCCAGGCTGGACAGGGCTTGGAGCCACCTGGGATGGTAGAAGGTGTCCTTGCCCATGGCAGGGTGTGGAATGAAATGACCTTTAAAGAACCTTTCTAACAAAATATTTTACAGCTCCCACTCACACCCTCTGGGACAGACAGCACCTGTCTGGTAGTGGGTCTGTCCCTACCTCTGACCCTCCTTCCCCTCCTCCAGTGATGCATTTTAAGCCAATTTTGATTTGAGAACAAATGCTCTCTACTCAGAGGTGCCACCACAATGATGTCCAGGAACCCAAGGTTTCCAATCATACAAGAAGAACATTTTAGGATATAATCAACATTTCAGATTTAAATTTCAGAAGTCTTCTCACCTGTGCTCTGCAAACACAGGCTCCCTGACTCTGCCAGCACTACTGCTACTCTGCCTGAGCTGGAATAAATGTGTGACATTGCTGAAAGAGCTGACAAAAAGAAGACAGTAACTTGTGACAAGTGAATGTGACCCGTGCAAACAAAGCCCAGAAATCTGAGTGGGCAGCTTTGTATAGGCTTCATGCATCACTTTTCCCCCACATCATCCAAATCTGAATGCTCTGGCCCTGTGACACCAATCAGGAAGTGATGGATAATGAAACACAAGCAGAAATGGGTGCACAAGCCCTTCCAGCTCCCATCAGCTGCTTTATAATCCTCATTTTAGAGAGAGAAAAAACACTCAGCCCAAAATGTCTTTCCAGTAGCCCACAGGAGTCAAGAGGCTCTGGGTATGATGGATTCCATCTCTGAATCCCACCTAGAATCCCACACTACCTGAGGCAGCTGAACAAGTCCCAGGACCTCAGGGTGGACTTTGCTGTCTTATTCCAAAAGGACTCTGTTGAAGAAGCTGCTGTTTTAATCCAAATTTTAAAAGGAAGGTGCTGAGGACTATTTCATTTCAGCCAACAGAGTCACATCCACATGGGGCTTCATCATGCAAGACAAAGCACTCACACACACAATTTTTTTGGGACCATTTCACCTGGCCACTCACAGCAGTGGCCACAAGGATCAGGCTCCAGGCACATCCTGCCAATCCCAGCAGCTTCAGGATTCCAGCTGGCCACTGAATTCCAACCCCAAACACCTGACAGGCACATCCAAGCTCTTGCTTCTCTACAAAATCCTTTTCTTACACTAGCAAAAAATTAAAAATAAATGGAGTTTAGTCTGTTAATGTTCATGCTGAGCATCATAAATGAATTACTTCTGAGACTTCAGTCTCATTGAATTTAATCCTTTTCTGGGATCAGCTATGGAGAAAGCAGGCACCAAAGACAAAGTCTTTCTCCTAGGACAGATGGCCACTTCTCAGTAAATTATAATCACAGAATACCCTGAGCTGGAAGGGACCCACAAGGATCATCCAAGTCCAACTCCTGGCCCTGCACAGGACAACCCTAATTACTGGGATTCATGCAGCTGTTGACCACAAGAGGAATTTTCCCCAAATCAAAAAGTGAGCAAGAAAAAATAATAATTAAAAAAAACCCCTTAAAAATACAGGTAGCAAAACACAACATGAAATTCAGTGAAGTACAGAGAGGAACACACACAAACAGATCTGAAACACACTGCTAAATATCACACAGATTCCAAGGGAAGGATTTAGCCAACCCTTAAAGTTAGGATTGGCTTCAGTTTGGCACTGAGGTATCAAGTAAGATTTCCAGTGAGTTCAAAGAATTTTTATAGGAAACCATAAATTGGTTATGTTTGTGAAGCAGGCAGTGTCAGGCTTTAAGGAAATATCAAACCACAAATACAAACTACTTCTCCAGACAGGGTGAACCTGTGAAAGCCACAGCAACAAGAGATGCTTTAGGAAAAGATCTTGTTGATACAAATCCCCAGGTTTCACTGGCACACCTCCCTTTGCTACTCCAGCAGCACCATCCCAGCACTGAATCCACTTGGGTTGGAACGAGTCCTTCGAAACGCCCAACGAGAAATCTTACAGTAGGGTTTTTATTTTTAATTTTTAAAAGCATTCTTCAATCTTTTCCACGGGTCAGACCACGGGAAGGACTTTGACCAGAAAAACTTCCCACAAACTCCCTGATGGATGTTGGGTTTTGATTCACCAATGTCCTGAGTATCGTTTCATACTCTGGAACCTTCCTTCTTACTCCATGGCTTTCCTTCCCTCAAAAAGACTCTGGGCTTTTTCTTTCCCCCTCCTTTATAAATCGTTCATGCAAGAATTCATGCCCATCTGTACCAAAGTAAGAATATATTTCAGTCTAATACTGATTTGTATAGACAACAAAAAGAAATGTATTAAAATTCTCTTCAAAATAGTGCAAATATTCATGCCCAAACTCTACTCATGACACAGCCCAGAAGTTTCAAAAATTGAAAGATTCTTAAAGGTAAATGAAGACAAAACACTGGATTTATCCAAGTTTGCACCAAAACAAAGCCCACACTAAGAAGACTGCGCTCATTGGGATTGAACAAGGGAATGATGGAGTGTAGATTTCTCCAGGTAGGATTGAGGGATGTGAATCCATGAGGAACCTGTACCCCCTGGAACCTCCAAAGGCTACACCAGCACCAGCTCCAAGCCCCAAACATCTCATCCATGCCTCTACTGTACCTTGAAAGGGACGTTCATTCACCTCTTTGCCTCTCCGACACGACAGCCAAAGCTTTTTCCAAATAAAACCAAACCAGGAGGATGAGGAGCACACAATCAATCCTTGTTAACGCTGATGATTATTCTCAAAGCGCCCTGGAAGAGAGGAACACCCAGTGAGTGCCTTGTGCCAAGGTCAAACAGCCTTTTTCTGCCCCAAATGCTTGGGTTCTGTTGTTTATGATTGGGATTGTCCCATTAAACTGAGATTGTCCCAGCAATGATTGTAGTCCCCATATAAAATAAGTTCATCCAAGTATTCCAAGCTCAGATGGAGGAAGACCAGATTGCAGAAGATAGGGAGATGGTCAAGGAGAAGACTGAAGACCACAGCTGGTATTGCAGGGAATAACCCAAGTTTACACAGCCTGTTAAAACAGCAGCAGTTAATTAACAACAAAAAAAAAGAGTCTTAAATTGTTCTGTTTTGCAAAGAGGACACCAAAGAACACACACCACTTGGCCTGAAGCTGGAATGATCTCATTTTCTGCAAGATTTTACATCCAAATCTAGACTGCAGGACTTAAAAATGCCCTTATTTTTGGAGAGGAAAGTGAAAGTTTGTGGGCAGGAGCCAGGTACTCACCAGGCCAGACAGCACCCAGTGGGAAGAGAGGACAAACCTCTGGACAGCACAAACCCTTCTGGAGGCCTGGAACAGGGAAAGGTGCCTTCAAAGGCTCCTCTGCTCATGAAAACAGCCCCAAGGTGGAATAAGGAATGTATCAGTTAAAGCATCTACAGGAGTGAGAGTGGATCCTCTGGAGCTGTGGGCATGTTGGCAAGACAGGAAAACAGTATTTCACCAGGCTGGGGGAGAGACAAGTGAATTATTCCCTTGGCAACCAGCTTCATGGGACTTGGTTCTCTCCTCAGTTATTCATATTTGGCTCCTCAGTTACTTTCTGTAGGACTCCTCCAGTTTTAGATCTCGTTTTCAAGTTGGTTACATCTTCCACGTGCTGTGCAAAGCACAAAGAGGCAAGGTGCATTTTTTAAGGTGAGTCTAAAACAGCTGAAACCACCTGTACTGTGGGAACATCTGGCAAAATTCAGTGCCCTCCTCAACGGAGCAAGAGAAAAGCTGGTGCTCTTTGTTCTAATGTTTTATTAGGGCATTAAAGCCTCACACAGAATGAGCACCCAAACCACCCAGCCACAGCAAAGGCAGCAGCAGAACCGACGCCTGAGAGCTCCAACAGCAGCTTCCAGGTATCCCTTAAACATTTTGGCGAAGCTGATGGAGACTGCCAGGCTAGAGAGCACCGCTGAAAAAACCAATATCCTCACATCCAACATCCCTGGAAGTGTCCAAGGCCAGGCTGGGTGGGGATTGGAGCAACCTGGTTTAATTGAAGGTGTCCCTGCAACTCATCTTGGAACTAAACCATCCTGAAGATCCCTTCCAACCCAAACCATTCTGTGCCTATGGATTTATTTTAAGCTGGAGAAAGGAGATACTTTCTGCAGGCACAGGGAAGGAGCAGCAGAGCATCTTCTCCCTGGTGGTGCAGCAGTGCTCCCTGGACACCCACTCCACCTCTCTGCATTCCCCAAGAAATAACCCAGCCTGCTCACGGCCATGTGGATTCCCAATCCGGCTCTGCAGCAAAACAGGCTCCTTCTAATTATCCCTCAGCCTGATGACATCTGAATGGTGGAACAGGAGCATGTCAGAGAGGCAAAATGAGAGAGTGTGAAAACAAGCCTGTCTCCTTTCTCTGCTCACACCGCAGGTCCCAAGCGCACGAGGACTCGCTCCCGCCTGAGTCATTCCCAGCAACGCTTCCCAACCACACAGAATTCCCACGCAGGAGGCTTTTTTGGCAAAATTATTTCAAAATGAGAGGACAGCAAGAGTGACTCTGGTACTGGAAGGAGCAACAGAGTGATGAGAAGGATCAGTTGTGTCTGTGGAGCCTTATTAGAAGTAATTTATATGCAAGTAAAACAAATATCCCCCCCCCCACCTTTTCCAGGAAAACGCTGAATTCCATACTGATTTACACGCCTTCCAATCTCATTGACTTCAGAGGGATTGCCTGTGGTAGGAATCACCAGGCTGTGGCCTCCCAGCAATAGAGTAATCCCTTCATATTCCCCCTTTCAAAAGCCCCATCATCCAACCAGGTGCTGCAGCTCAGGCCCCGTGAGCCCAGTTCCAGCCCTGCGGCGACGCTTCCCCTCTCCCTGCAAAATCCTGGGAAGGGGGAAAGGGAAATAAAAGTCTGATGATGGAAATGCCTCATGGAGCATGGCTGAGCTGGGGAGAGAGAGAGAGGCCTGAACCTTCCTTCCATCTAATTAAATCCAGATCCAAAAGCTGTTCTGACCCGAGTGCATTAAGTATTTTTGTTAGGAAGGGCAGGGATAAATTAACTCCTAACTCTGGCCCTAATCTTTTTTTCATTGTTGTTTGAATTCTCCCACTTCCTACGATTTCAGCATTTCCTTGTGATAAAGAGGAGCTCTGGCCTGCTGGCTCATCTGCCCTTTTTCTCCATGGCATCTGGGCAGATGCTCCCTCCAGCCAAGCTCTTCAAAATCCCAGGACCTGCTTCTGCATTTACAAACATCGGTGCAAAAGGCAACTGCTGACCCCACTCTTTTGTCACAGCTGTTATTTACAGCACCACCACCAGCACGCTGGAGAGATGATAATAAATGTTTAATGGTCCAGTAAACACCAAGGGCTTTATCTCCAGCCTATTTCCAAGCCTGATCAAATATAATAATCCTTTGTATGTCTGTCTGTCACTTCCCTGGCTTCCTATGGGATGGGAAAAGATGGACAGGGCTGCTCTATATTCAGACATGATAAATATAGAGAAAAAGGGGTTAGTTATAGGGACATAAATGCTTTCCCTGCTTCCATATAAATTCTTTGCTCTCAGAAGGTCAGGATTATCCACCTGCCTGTTGGACCTCAACTTCTATGTAACACAGAAATGCAGGCAGCATCTGCCTCTAGGATTCAATGCAGCAATTATAAATAACAGGAATATTACACAGAGGAAGTGGGGAATGTGTGGAGGAAGTTGAGAGAAGAATCATCCACTTACAGACTGGGCAGATAAACCACTTCCTCAGATCTGAAATGGAAGATCTATTCCCCCTCCAATTATAGCTGTGGGTCCATTACTCAATATTCCCTCTCCATGCAAGTCTTACTTATCTCATAGAGCCTCATCTCTCCCAGATGACACTGTAAATGAGTCATTTGACACATTAAAGTGAAGCAGTTAGGGTTTTATTATGCTATTACACATCATTGTGACAAGCTTCCCTAAAGACCTGATCCTATATCACAGTCCAGTTCTGGTCTGGGAAACTGATCCTAAATCACAGTCCAGTTCTGGTTTGGGAAACTGATTGAAACTGATTCTAAATCACAGTCCAGTTCTGGTCTGGGAAACTGATTCTAAATCACAGTCCAATTTTGGTTTGGGAAATTGGTCCTAAATAACAATCCAATTCTGGTCTGGGAAACTGATCCTAAGTCACAGTCCAGTTCTGGTTTGGGAAACAGGCCCTATATCACAGTCCAGTCCTGGTTTGGAAAACTGATTCTAAATCACAGTCCAGTCGTGGTTTGGAAAACTGATTCTAAATCACAGTCCAGTCGTGGTTTGGAAAACTGATTCTAAATCACAGTCCTGTTCTGGTTTGGAAAACTGATCCTAAATCACAGTCCTGTTCTGGTTTGGGAACCCAGAGATAAACACACACAACCCAGAGATACACACAGGAGAAAAAGCCACCTGGACTCTGCAGGTGAGACCTCCCCCATGTAGGGTTGCACCTATTCAATACACAGGACCTGTTCCACAGGTCTCCAGACCATGTTCAAGGTTTGACTTCTTTTTTCCAGCCTCCAAATGAGCCCCAAAATCAAGTCCTGGCACTGGTGAGGTCTTCTGATCCAGCCAAAGCCACCTGATTCCACCAACACCAGCACTTCTTGGCTCAGATGATGGGAGAGACCTGCTTCCCAGTTTGATCTGGTCAGACTGGAGGGTCTTCTAAGGCTGATCCATGCAGAAGATGAGGGATCAGGGCAGGATTATGTAAACTAAGGCTCGAGGCCAAAATAAAGGAGCCTGGAGGCAGGGCTGTCGTCAGGGCGTAGCTCAGCTGTGCCTCCACCACGCACCAGCCCTTCCCTCCCTCCCTCTTTCTCTGGGACATTTTCATCAGCATGGCCAGGAGACTCTTGCAGAGGGTGTTTGAAACTCCCAGAGCTGCCAAAAATGTCCAATTAAAGCCCAGTGAGAGCTCATCATAAATCCACCCCAGTGAACCGCAGCCCTGCTCGGCTGCCTTTCTGGGTGAACCCAAAAATCCTGAAAGCAAAGACCTCCCAGCAATTACACCCAAAAGGTTTCCTGTCTCTGCACGAATCTTTGTTTGCTTTGGGTTTTAGTGGTAGATGGGAGCACAGACTACAACTTGTGGGAGATAGGTTATTGCTGCTAAAGCAAAGAGCCTTTTTCCTTCCCTCCCTGAAAAGACAGAGCACTAAAAATGCTGCTCTGAAACAGCTTGGTCCTGCATTCACAGATGGCAGCAAAAATTAGCATTATTTATCAGTGGCTTTAGTCACTTTTTAAAAGAAAAGCATATAAAGGAAGACATGCACCTGAATTAAAGCTCCTTGCCTTTTCTTTTGCAACTAATACTTTAAAATGCAGCAGGGAAAGAGCATTTTGCAGAGCTTTAGGAAACCACACTTAAAAAAACCCACCAAACATTTACCCAAGAAGGAGAATGAAAACAAGCAGAACAATAAGAGTCACGGAAGTTTGCTCTGAGGAGACAGCTGGGAAGGTGAAAGGAGGAAGCAAGCAAAGAAAACACATAGCATAAAGATAGAAATTAATCCAAAACGGCAGGAGAAGAATTATTAAGCCATTTTACATTCTTACAGCAAAGGAGATGTGATCACACAGTGCTGTTCCATGCCAAATGTGCACAAGCTGCATTTGTGCACAAGTCACACCCTTGCAGAGGGCTCAGCCCAGCCTTGCATCTCCTGAGGACCTTGAGCTCTGTGTCTCAGAATCAGTGGTGGAGGTGAGAAGAAACTTCTGGAGAT